CAAACTAGCGTCCACCGAGGTCATAATTTGAATGGATATTGAATCATTTTTGTAGAACATGAGAGAAACAATTCAAAATCTTCCTTCGATCTTCATTAAAACTTTCTTTCTTTTTCGCCTCTTACTCGAGCTATATTAGGGTTCGTTTTTCAATATGAGAATTAAGTAAATCACCTTCCTAAAAGCGTTCCTGATTAAGATTAAGATTCATAGTAGTTAAACTAAATCTATGATCTTGCTACGTTCCAAAAAAGGCTTTATAAAAAAAACTCACATGATCAACCTATCTCAGTGACCTGGTTTAAAATGCAACAAGATTTCATTGGTATTTTTTAAAACAATTTATTCGACACTACATCTCACTTATAAAATCTTCTTTTTGGTGAAGCAGCAAAATTCATAATTAATCCAGAGCTGATAAAGCTTTCTGAATCGAATTGCTAGAAATGTGAAACTAATTTTGTTTTGCTGTAGTGTTCTTACATTAATCGTTCAAATTAAGAAGTGACACTTTCAGACCGCATTCACTTAGCTTCAAACAGATTACACGTGACACTTCTAAATCTTTTTTACATTCAGTTAGATTTATGCTAGACATTCTAGCAAACTCTACATCTTCCTAAATTTATAGATAGAAATTGCATAGAAAACAGCAGCGAACTCTATATGAATCAACATATCGACTAACATCATTAACAAGTTGTCCTAAACTTGGTGTTGATAACATTTCAAATGAACAAATATGACGACGTAGAAACAGACCTATATGTGCAAAATAAAAATTTCAAATTGTTTGTTTTTCAAATTTATTAATCATACCAACAGGACTCCATCCTTTAATAGTATAATAAATTTTATCTGATTGATGACCTAGTTGATTTTCATTATTGGTAAAATTTGATTCACCACGTTTTTGAATAAATTTTGATAAATCATGAAATAAATCAATTATATCAACTAAGGTTGCTTGTGCTAATTTAGCAATACTAAAAATTTTATAATTAAATTTTTGAAAAAAAAACAAAGAATTTTACGAAAAATAATTTTACCTTTGAGAATATTCAGTAACAATATCATTATCCGGATAAATTTTTACTAAATGTTGAACAAGATTTGATAATTCCCATTCAAAATTCTATTAAATAAATTAGATTTTTAATATCAATATTATATTTTGATATGTTACTCATGTGAGAAATAATAATAATGATGGAAGAAGAACATCTTCTGTATAAGTAAATTCAGGTAATGTACTTCGTGCTGTTTCTTCTTCTTTCAAAGGTAAATATCGTTGTTTCTATTAGTTTATAAATAGATATTAGTATTATTAAGATTTTTTATTTAGTTTATATTTACTAGACGACGTAGAATAGTGTGAAATAATTGAAGAAGAATTATTTTACGTGAAGACAAATGTTCACATAAACGTACATAGTCAATCAGACGTACTTCATCATGCTGATGATGCAATCCACGATAATATACATTGCCATTGGGCACATTTAAATCCATCTGAGACTAGTAAAAAAAATATATAGAGATTACCTTTGTTTTTAATAGAAAATGCGAAATGATTAAGTCTACTGATAATCCATGAAATTTTTGTTCAGACAGAGAGTTACATCTAACTTATTTTTATTGTCATTTGTTTTTTCTACATGAAAATTAGAATAAAATTTATTTATTTAGAACTTGATACAATAGATAAATCAATTGTTGATTTATGAAAATAATAATTTCTTGCTTACTGTTGCTTTACTCATTGATATTAATTTATCTATTTACAAAAAAAAAATCCATGTTATCTTATACCAGTATATATAGATTTTTCAACCATTCGACAAGTTCAGCTTTTTCTGATAAAATTGCTGATTCTTCAGAACGAGTACTGCAACAATATGAGTGTCTGTGGTTCGATTTTCGACGAAGAGATTTTTGTATTTTTTGTCCATTCTTTATCTTCACATTCAACAATTAAAGTCGGGAGATTAGGCATTTTATGTATAACATCAAATATAAATATTCGATCTTCAACTGGAATAGAAAGAAT